GTGTGTGTGTGTGTGTGTGTGTGTGCATGTATTAAGTATAACATTTGATAAGTTTATATTTATAAAATTAAAATTATATATAATAAAGCAAATGTATTTTAATTTAGCATAAGAAAAGTCTTAAAAAGTAAAACATTATAAAATGTTGGAAAAAATCATTGATGTTTAAAATATGAGTTTGTAAGATATACATGATTTAAAATCAATCATATTATAGAGCACATATTCGTACATTATAAAAGTAGCTTATTACAATTTTAAGTAAAATTTATTTAACCATGATAATAAATTAGTGTAAATTTAGATAAACATATAAGTAACAAATGAGTTTGAAATTATATAATATTTTTTATTATATATCATATATTTTATAAAAATAATCTTAGATAAACTTTTTATGTGCACCTCTTTGATTTATATCCACCATGAATTATCACCAATTATCTTAAGTGGTACTCTATGAAATAATACATATAACACATGCTCATTTCTTAGATTTTGATATCCAAATAAATTTGAATCTAATAACATTATCAATTCAAAAATAAATACATTTATAAATAACAAACTTTAAATATCTATTAGTGCATTTAGAAATCAAGATATATGTAGATAAAGTTATAACTAAATGAATTTCTTATTTTAGCTCAACTATGTAATATGACATTTTTTATACAAGTAATGCTAGACAAAGATTATATAAATAATTTATAATTTTATATATATTTTCTTACTTAATTAGATTGAGTATATATATGAGATTGATAATATTAACTATTAGTTGTAAGGATATAAGAACAATCTTAAACACTAGTATAACTATGGAATAAATCATAAAAAATAACATTAAGATAGTATTTGCATCACTTAAGCTATCAATCTTAAAATATAAAACATGAGTATTTTGATCATTATATAAACATTATTTATTTAGAATTGTTATTTTTCCAACATATAAATCTTCACACATTAAAAATTATGCATGAAAGTGCTAGTAATCATTAGGTTCATTTTTTAGATTTTGTTAATATTTTAATTTTCTAGCACAACAATTTTTGTGGGGGAATAGAATTTAAATTATGATTAAAATATTTAACAAATAAACTATAAATAATGCTTAATAAAGGATTGTATGAATGATGGGTCACTTCTTAAAGAGGTGATATTTTCATAGTGAACATAAATTAAAAATGTGTAAGGCATTGTAGTCAATTTTAAACCTTTTAATTTAATTCAAGAGATAATATCTTGCAATTAGTTTTGGGGCATTTATATACATATCACTTAGTTCCTATGTATTTATCTATCTAACACATAAAATGTAATTTTTAAATACATGCCATCTTTAGTTAGAATGAAAAGGTCTATATCACCTTTTAAAAGTTAATATAGTAATTTTTTTGATGTGATATGAAAGATTTGAGTTGTATAAATTTAAAAAGTAATATATAGGTGTTAGATGTATAAATACATAAGAATTAAGTGCTATGTATCCAAACTCCTCATTATTTTCATTTAAGGAAAATAAGTTTTGCTTAAATATACATATTTTTTCTCAGAAGAAATTTAACTAAATTAATATTTTTCTAGATTTATAAAGACTAAAGAATTAGTGATGTCAATCTTCATTTTAAGTTTTTTTCCTTTTTAGTTTTAATGTACAATGACCACAAGGCTCTTGTAGGTACTCATTCTTTTTCCCATTAAAATTTTGCTTTTACTTTATTTTATCCTTCTTTCATTCTTCCAAGAGACATTTAATTTTTTTTCCATGTAAATAAATAATATTCTACATGAAAATTTATTTTTCAATTATAATCGTTTAACCTATCTTAGAAAGAATTTTTTAGGCATAGCATATAAAGATTTACAAAGTCAAAGTGAGAACACCTATATAACATTGTTCATTATTAACTAAAAAATATACACAATATATTTTGATAAAATAATATATTAGAAAATTTTAATATCTTTAATATTAATAATTTTAAAAATTCAAGAGCTTTTTTGGAGTGGTGGTCAAAGGCTAGGATTAGTGGAATGCTACTGAAAAAAGTTATTTATCTTAATATTCTAGGATATGCATATGAATGAGATTTTTTTTAGTAGATGACTACCTTTTCTTTGTTATGATCTAGCATATAAGAGGTTTTAGATGTTAGCTAACTATTGTGATAACTTTAGGTCAATTGGATATATGAATATGATGCTATAAAATTTCTAATTAAAATATTCAAAATAAGTAGATGACAAGAGTTAAGATTTTGGAAGAGTATAGCTCAATTTTACTGAGAAATTAAGTAATGTAAAAAAAATTAAAAAGGTTATAAAGATGAACAAAATAAAAAAAAAAAAAGAGAAAAAAGATATGTCAAAGTTTTAGAACCTTAAATGTGATTTTTTATAAATAAATTCAAATTTTAGCAGCACCAACTTCTTGTAAACATAAATTTTTGTAAAACAAAAAAATAAATTTGCTTTAAATGAAGGAGAGTGTATGTATTACATGAAGTGGGGTAGCAATGAGAGAGAATCCTTAGTATATAAACTAAAATCGTCTCTTAAAAATTCATCCATAGGCTATAATGGTAACACCCTTAAATTTTTTAAATATTTAAAATAAATAATATCACTCTAATTTTAAATAAATTAACTATTTTATTATTTCTCTTGAATTCTTAATATGAGCTATTTGATATGGTTCTAAAATAAATTTTTATATTTAAAGTATTCTATCTAAATCATACACGATTTGCTCATATTTCTTAAAATAAAATATTTCATCAAACTTTATTATTTTAACCTCATCATTCATTTTGATATTAAATTATTTGAGTTATTATGTTGTATATATGATATCTACCATAATTATATAAATAAAGATGTATTATATTGCTCATTCACGTGTGGAACGCTATCATGAAAACAATTATTAGGCATTTTGAGTAATGATATAATTATGATTAATATTGGGGACACTTTACTATATGTAAGCTATGTGAAATGTTAGTAAGCAACAACTTTTTTGGAACTTAGTTGTTATTGTCTTTTGATTCAATCATAATGTCAAATATTAACCTCAATAATAATTGTTATTGTCAACAATTATTAACATTTGATTCAATCATAATGTTAACCTCAACATTTTTTGAAGCTATGTGAAATGTTAGTAATGATTCAATCATAATGTCAAATATCAATTGAATACATTTGCAATATCTTCTTAAAGTTACACTTGATTACACATTTCTACAAAAAAGAAAAATAAATTATTATGAACTTCACAGCTTTTTATAGCTGTATAATGAATGTTATGTTATCTCTTAAATTGTACTTTATTGTCTTTTGAATGTTGTATTATCTCTTGAATTATTTCTAGTATGTTATACATATTTGTTATATCATTTGAACTACACTATTGTGTTATTATTGTTTGTAATATCTCTTCAGTTGTATTATGTCAAGTCAAGTTGTCATGTTTGAACATATATTTGAACTATTTTTGAATTGTGCTTGAATTATTAATATATTTGTTTAAAGCTTGGTCAAATCTTCTTTGAATTAACCCCAACTCTATTCAAATGTTATTTTCTTTAATTTTCTTTTATTTGAATTTTGTTTGAATGATTTTTGATTCATGTATAATCTATGTTAAAAAAACTTGAATATGTTTTGAATGTGAACCCAACCTTGCTACAATATGATTTGAACCTTGTTCAAAGCAGTACTTGCCATCATAAAATTTAAATAACCACTTCGGGCACAATGTTGAGTATTTTAATCTAAAATAAAATTCTTTGACATTTTTATTCAAAGTAGATAAATAGTTGTTATTTTTTAAGATCATATTACAAGAATAAAAAGTAAAATATTTACCCAAAAGATATTAAATTGCATTAAAATTTGTTTTATTTTATATAAATTAATATTAATGATTTTTTTTATTCAAAGAATAAAAAATTAGATTACTATATGAAAAAAAAACATATAAAATTTGGGGCATTTACATACATATGATTTTAAATTGCATTAAAATTTGTTTTATTTTATATAAATCAATATTAATGATTTTTTTATTCTAAGAATAAAAAATAGATTACAATATGAAAAAAAAAACATATACAATTTGGGGCATTTACATACATATGACACACTTCTACATATGATTTTTATGTATTTACATATCTAATAACCAAATTTTCATATTTATATTTATAAACATTTAAAATTATAATATCCCATCAAGAAAACCATCCATTTTAATTTTTTAAAAGTAAAATAAAAATTTTCATGAAAATATTATAAATAAATATCAAACTGTATGTAATAGATACATAAATACATAAGAATTATGCGTCATTCACCTAAATTTTCCAAAAAAGTAAACATCTGATTTAAAAAAAAAAATAATTGATAGGTGCAGACTTCATGCTATTTTCTTCAATTATTTGTTGATCTTCTCGCTTCCGTTGCATTGTTTATTCGCTTCGTGGTTGAATTAGGTATTCTGGTTGAATTGTTCTGCTGAGCGCATTGGGAGGAGATAGTTTCGGGGTTAAATTAGGGTTTCTGGTTGAATTGTTCTTCTCTTTCTCCCCCACTTCCTGTCCGTCTACTCGCTCGATGAAGTCATCAATTTCTTATTTTTCTAAGTTCTACTCCCCCCTAGAAGTAAACAAAAAAAAAATTGCAGTCTTTTCTGCACATTCCTTCTTCCTCGACGTTCAGACTCGAGTTCTACTTCAAAATCTCACCCAGACTTTTGACTTTCAATGTTCTTTATCCATTTACAGTCTACAATATTATCCATGGGATCTATATCCTGCCATTATTCTTCTCATTTGCAATCTCTCTTCATTTCCTCTACAATTTCCAATTTCTGAAATTTCTGTCTCATGTAGCCTTTTGATTTACCTATTTGCTTTTTTGTTTAAAAAAAGCTAGATTTTTCGTCAGCTTTTCTCTTATTCTGTCTCATGTAGCCTTTTGATTTACCTATTTGCTGTTTTGTTTAAAAAAAGCTAGATCTCTTAGTGAATTGGTTTTGTTCATCTGCCTTCCTCATGAAGCTTTTTTTGCAAGTCATTGAAGCCCGAGGTCTCGTTGCGCTGGATCTTAATAGGTTGAGTGATCCCTATGTGAGATTAAAGCTTGGGAAGCAGCGAGCAAAGACTAAGGTTGTGAAGAAGAGCTCCAAGCCATGGTGGGAAGAAGAGTTTTTCTTCCAGGTTGAAGACCTTGGGGAAGAACTGACTGTTTCAGTAATGTATGAGGACAAGTGCTTCAATGGCGATTTTATTGGACAAGTTAAATTGCCGTTGTCTATGGTCTTGGATGCAGAGAATCATTCTCTTGGGACTGCTTGGTATCAACTGCAGTCCAAGAGTAAGAAGGCGAAGAACCGAGAATGTGGTAAGAATTTATGTTTTCAAATCTTATTCATCTGTTTACTATGAGATTCGTGTAATTTTTTTTTCCCAAAATGCAAATTTATGTTGTATGAATTTCTTCTTCATTTTGTTCCCTGGATTTTGGGTTCGATATGTCCGATTCATGCATCAGTTTGTTAACCATGTCTGCCTTTTTCTTAAGGGATTTATATCTTATATTAGAACATGCGTGGTTGGAAATTAGTCTCAATCAGTACTGTCAAACTCAAATGAGGTTTTTTAAATCTCATTTTACATCTGATGACTCTATAAACATGTATAGAATCTTCTGTGATTCAATCTAATTTAAATTTTATTGAATATAATGAATGGAGATCTAATTTGCCAGGTTCTTTTTAGTTTTAGATCTAATTCAAATTTTATTGAATATTATGATTGACTTTTGGCTCCTGTTAAGGCTTAGGGGATGATCTCTTGGATCAACAGGCTATAGATATTGATAGGTAGGTAATCCACGCGTTGATCTACTACAATAAGGAACATCTTTCAAACATCTCATTTAACTTGGGTTTGAGGCTCAAGGAACTTTGTACTCAACGTTTGAGACTCTGGAACTACTTGGTGCTTGTGGAGGGTGACTATTGCTGAGTGCAAAAGGTGTTCCATGACAATTTTATTGATGAGGGGAGGAGAACCCTTTGGTGGAACGTAGGGTCGACGTCCAAGGTGGTGAGTTGAACCCTCAAATGATTATTTGATTATTGCTTTGTAAGAATGTTGTTAGTGAACCTATGAATCACATAAATATGAGTATGGACACGGGCACAATGTTTATGACATTACATAGACATGATGATAAGACATAATTGTAAAAAGTAGGATATGACAATTCATGGATACAATTTTATATTTAATATATTATTAATATGAATAATATAATTTTATGTTATTCTTTAATGAAGGCATCATGTGATGAAATATACTTTCATAAAATAAACATTCTAAATATGAAAAGAACTAATTAGGATTAGTAATAACAATTATTTTATTGCACAATCATTTATTTGTGTCTCGCTATGTCTTGATCATGTCCTCGCATGTGTCCTTTTTATGTCTTGCCTTGTACTTGCCATGTCTATGCCGTATTGAAGCCCAAAATTTATTTAAAAAATCCTGACATAGTTTTCGGTGTGTCAAACACGTGTTGGGACGTGTCGGAGTTGTGTTCGTGTCTAACATATGTTCGACATAGACACATATGCCATTCAGAAGTGTCCGTGCATCATAGCCTATATTATTGTGGCGATAATCGTTTCTTTCATTTGATGCTCATTGATGGGACCTCACTAGCACACCAATTGGATGACGCTGTGGATTTATGCACTAGGATCCAATAGGTGTTAGAGGTGGATGACCTTATACAATTGCGAGGAGTCACTAGAGGAAGATTCAATGCCATGCAGGCAATGTACCCCTTGTCGACCACTCTTAAAGAGTGCGGTGAATGATTGCCCTAGAGAGAAGGCACTTCATTAAATCTCCATTGCACAACATTCAAGAATGCTATTGATTAAAGATATTGGTTCATGCATCGTATTCGATACAAAAGAAGAATTTCAAAATATAGTCCTAGTAAAATGGCATATCAACCTTAAAGGGATTTTTGGATAAAGGAAGGCGCAAAAAGTACAATACAACATACAAAGTGACCAACAAAGTGACATAGAAGTGAAAATACATTTTTCTTTGCTCCTTAGGATTTTGGGATTTAGAGGAAGTGATCCCGAGTCTTCTCTTCTTTCTCTCACTAGAGTGTTCTAGAGAGAGGTACTCTGGGGAAAGGGGGTGGCCGGCAGTCACCCCCTCCTCTGAAGCTTTGGGGAGGCGGTCAAAAGAGTAGTGGTGGTTCTCGTGGCGGTGATGGTAAGGAGATTGGGGTGGGATTGGCTGGTCTTGCCTCCGGTAATGGGGGTTCTTATGTGGATAAGGTGGATGCAACTTGGCAGGGGAGTCGATTGGGCGATAGTGGTGTATCCAGGCAAAGCTTGGTGGAAGTTATGGTAAGAGATGGGAGAATATCGGTGGACAATGCAACCCCAAGGGATATTGAGGATCATATCTTGAGGAAAGCTAAGGAGTGGCGTTCCAATTTGGCTCTTCTCGTGCTAAAGAATTTAGGCGATCTCATTTCAAAGTTTTGTGCGAAGATGTAGGTAGTGTTGGAAGACTCCTTAGGCTCTGATGTGTTGGCCAATAGAGGCATGGTGGTGTTGGGGAAGAATAACACCGATAAAAATGGAAAGTCACAGAATGAAGATGTGGTGGTTGATCAACAAGAAAAGACTGATTCCAGGTTGTACTATCACCTTGGTGATGGAGCGACGACTATGGAGGTTATGTCGGAGGCGGCAATCAGGGAGGATGATAATATGATTGACTACATGGCTAGTGAAGCTCATTGGGAAGCTATGCATAATGATTTGGAGATTTGTGAATCTGGTTTTTCTGCAGGTGTGGAAAATAGGGATACAAGTATGCAAGAGGCGAATTGTTTGCTACAGTGCCCCCCAGATGTCTATGAAAATGCATCAAACAGCCAGCTGTCTAGCAGCTTCCGAGTAATTGCTGGCTTTACAAAGCTGCAAGAATAGTGCGCCGCTTGGCAATAATGATGGTTCTACCAAGGAGAGATTGGAGGCTGCACAACCCTCTAGGGCCCCGAATCCTCAAAATCGATTAGCCAGTGGTTGTGTTTTCTCCAATGCTAATCACAAATTTCCGATTGGTAGGTAAAATGCTTGGGCAAAACCGGCTCACATTCAAGTCACTCAAGTGGAGAATGTGAAAGACTATTTTGATGAAGAAGGAATGGTCAATCTTAATATGGAGAAAGCATGATTTAAACATATCTAGACTTGAAAATGTAATTGTTGGGAAATTACTTGGAAGACATCTTTTATATGCTGTCCTTAACGTGGAACTTTGTAGGAAATGGATGCATTTTGGCTTTTTCAAATTTGGTTACGATTAATTGCTTTATAAGCATCTTTGAGAGTGTTGAAGCAAGGGATGTTGTCCTTTTGGGAGTACCGTGGTTCGTTGTGGGTACAATTATCGGATTGGATGTGTGAAGACCTTCCTTTTCGTCAGAATCTTTTGTTGGTTTTTCGACACCAATTTGGATTTAGTTACCTCATTTACCAGATAATATGAACATTCTCTGTATTGCAAGGTTGGTAGGCCAACCATTATGGATCAATGTGCAAACAGACCCTTGGGGTCAGAATAATTTTACTCAGGTATGTTTTCGAGTTGATCTCTTAAAGAAATTGGCAATTGGCACTTGGAATCATGGGATAAATGAGAATTTTTCTAGAAAATTGAATATGAAGATATTTCACATCTTTGATTTAAGTGCGAGAAATGGGCCATAAAATGTTCCCATGTCAGGAAGTTTTCATTCTGTTAAATGTGGGAAGTACGAGGATCTCAGAGGAATCTAGCTAATTTAGTGGGTGACATGGCTGGAGCTAGTGGTGTGGTGTAGGTTGATCTTTTAAATCCTTCAAAGGGCAGCACCTCTAACATGTCAACCCGATAGGCTTCCACTATGGGAGATGGTAATAGCAGGTATGATAAACAAGAAACAGTCACACCAAGTCAACCCTCTAGTGCACTGCTTCGAAGGAGGAAGATTGGTAACATGTTTGGCCATGGACACTAGTTACCATGAATCGGAAAAAAATCACCAAAACCAGGCAAGTCTGGTGATTCGGTCAAACAAAGAATACTTTCGACACAAAGGGCAGTGAGCCCACAAAGCAGAAGGCAGATCTCCCACCTCAATCTGTTGATTATATACCGCAACAGGTTTTTAACTTTGGTTCCATTCCAGCAGGGGGTGATGAGCCTACCCTTACTTAGGTTCTCTAAAATTTCATGCTGGTTTGCCCTCAACTAATATTGGTTTCTTGTTGATTCATGGTAGCAAGCCCAAAACTCCCAAAGAAATGGTTTCTAAAGCCAATTATGGAAATTAATTGCAGGGCTTGAGGCCGGCTCTAGGACAACAGAGGAAACAAAAGAAGAGGGTGGAAATTGTTACGGACAGCGGGGATGCGTCCCCCGTGGATGATCAATGAATAATATCCTATTATGGAATTGTCGGGATGCCTAGAAAAAGAAGGTTAGAAACTACCTTGGGACTCTTGTTGTGGAAAAAAACACATTGGGTAAGTGGGTCTCTTGGAGAATAAAATTGAGGACATTAGCAGACTGGAGAACGATAAGCTGGTTGGTAGAGATTGGAATTATTTTCATCAAATGACCTGTGGTAAATACGGGGGTATTCTTGTTCTCTAGTGTATTAACTATATGAACTTCATTGTGACCAGGCATAGTGACCAATGTATCATGGGGACTGTGAAAATCTAAGACTTCTGTTCTTGGAATATCGCTGTGGTTTAAGCTAGCAATGATTACTCTACTCGGAGGGCTCTATGACATCTCATTGTGGAGACCGGTGATGTTGACACCTCGCTTCTTATTGGAGGAGATTTTAACTGCATTTTATCTCAAGAAAAGAAGAAAGGGGGTAAACTGTTCAAATTCTCTACTAGAGTTCAAGAGATGTCGAACTTCATTGCCGAAAATGATCTTGGTTTCTCGGGTCCATGCTTCACGTGGTCTAACAACAAAATTGAAAACAATAAAATTTGGGTTCAACTTGACCGATGTATGTTCAATTCCACGAGGATGCGCCTTTTGCTTGTGTGGAACACTTGCTTCATATGACTTTTGATCACTGTCCGATGACTCTTTACTGGGAGGCACAAAATACATTCAGTAAGAATGAGTGGATTTGTTTTGAGAATACTTGGACTTCATATTCGGAAGCTTGGCATATTGTGCTAAGGAAATGACAGGCGGAGAGGAGGCAACTATCTTGCATTGGAAATGATTACGTGCTATTTACATTTGGAGTAAAAATAATCTAAGAGAGTTGACTAATCTTGAAACTCA